TAAGAGTTGTATGAGCCCCTAATAAAACGATTCAAAAAATAAAAAAAAACAAGGTCAAAATGTAAGGACTTAATGTGAATGCAAAAGCCAGAAAATTCTTAGCAATGGGCTATCAAATATGGGATCAAAAGCATAAGCAGAAAAAGACAAATGTAAATGAACCCTTATAAAAGTTAAATAGTTTTTTTCATCAAAAGACTTTATTTTGTAAGTGTTAAGACAACTTACAGATTAGAAAAAATCTTTAGGAACCATACATAGATCTAACATCTAAAATTTGTAAAAAGTACTTTTACAATTTAAGAACAAGAAAAATATCGAAAGATATTCAAATGGTCAACAAGTCATGGAAAGATACTCAATATCATTAACCGTCATTGTTAGAACTGCCCCCTTATAGCTTTCAGGGCTACAATCATTATGGTAACAGAAACCCAGGTCTTTTTCCTTGCAACCACTTGACGGGTTTTCTTATCGATGATAACACCAGAGCTCTTTCAACTCACAGTGATCATATAAGTACATACTAGAACTGTCCCATAGGGTTTCCAATGCTTATGGAAGTGGGCTGTTGGGTTCCAGCCACCCATCAACCTTTCAATTAGCTGCTCAGCACTTAACCACCTCACCACCAGAGCTTCTTCAATAACCATTAAGGCGATGGGGTAGCAATCAATACCAGAAGGGTAGGGGGAAGGTGGGGGGAGAAAGGGGAACCAATTGCAAGCAAGATGGACACACCCCTACAAGCAGACAAACACAGAAACTGTGGGGGAAGGAAGAAAGCTGTCAGTGTAAGATATGAATATAATAATAATTTATAATTTATCAAGGGAAACAGGGGGGTGGAGAGGAGCTGATACCAAGGGCTCAATAGAAAGTAAATGTCTAAAAAATAATGATGCCAACAAATGTATAAATATGCTTGATACAATTGATGTATGAATTGCTGTAAGAGCTACAAGAGCCCTCAACAAAATGATCTTTTAATAAAAAATAAAACCAAAAACCATTATGAGATATCATCTCACCCTCTCTGGCATGATAATGAAAAAGAAGAACAGGGGTGTTGGAGAAGACTCAATACTATACTTTTCAGAGCTGCGCCACTTTCCTACTATCTCCAAGCCCTATTATCACCACCATGGAGTGGAAAGAACCGAACTTATCATTTAGTTTCTTATAGTTTTAAAAAACTGAGGCATATTGATTTTCGCACAAGTAGCTTCTTAATATTCTAATGTGTATCTATTTTAAAACTTCAAACTGCTGGTGCTACTTTAAGGGGGGGAAATTAAACACATTCTAACTTCCTAATTCACATGAAGCTTCAAATACCTCATTCAGACAAACATACAAACCTGTATGGGTGGAATATCTGGCAGTGATGGAAGGTTTTCTGGGTTGGTGACTGAGGGGATAAGCTCGATTGCAGTAACAGATGGGCTGGTGGGGCCTCGGTTTGCATTTGCCATAGTAGCTATAGTAGGGCTGGTTGGGTTGATTGTGGTGTTGTGCACTGATACAACAGGAAAGGGTCCAGCATGCCCTGGATTTGAGTGCTGTTAGGAAAGAGGACATTCCCATTACTTGATATGCCGGAATACCCTAATATGAACGATACCTTAAAAAAATACCAAAATCTTTTTTTCCTTTTTTTTAAATGAAGGCTATATCTGTGCATCAAAGGCAAAAAAGCAGGCCCTCTCAAACTTATACAGAAATGAATACATCAAAGTTAACATTTTCATCAGAATCTAGGGAAAACTGCCTTACCAATAAGTTTACAATTTGCTAACCAGTCTAGTGATATCTTATTTCAAAATAGAGATGTATAGAATACATGATGTATTTAAATAGCAGGCAAAAAGCCATTGTTCTATCTATATTCCTGTAAATCCTCTCCCCCATTTTTGTTCTGTTAAAATAAAAAGGGCTGAGTAATTAATATAGCATGGTATGTAAGAAAGAATATTAAACTTAGAGGGGAATAAATATGGCTCCAATTCTTGACCCTTACCATTGCCTGGCCTGGGGCACGTCACACCTCATGATTGGAGCTTGAAGATTATGAGGAGGGTCATTGAGATAATCAGACATTTCTTTGGAAAACAAATTACTATACATATTTGACTGGGTGCAACAGTTTTCACTACCCAGGAACAACCTACCCATCAAGAAAAGTCATTTAAAAGATCTGAAAATGCATATATACAGTGATTTCTATAGGAGCAGCCCAAAAGACTAAGGTATTCAGAGGTGGTGGATTAATCTGATTTTGTAGCTCTTGAACTCTTTCAAAAGAGGCAGGGAAAAAAGTGTTAAGAAAAAATATTCAGATTCTCAACTTTTGTTATGTACTTTTTCCAAAAGACAATTTGATTTGCCTAAAAATGTGCACATTCTATCACTTTTATGTGTAATTATCCTCCTCCCATGTGACCGGTAAAGAAGAGCACCTCTGCAGCCTTGCTCAGTGGCTCATCCCACTGAAGTCTCCTGGCCAGGGTGCAAATACTCCTGGGAGTAAGCAAGCAGAGGTGCTTTTGAAAAGAATGCTGGTGGGTGTTGAGAAAGTGTGGGGGCCAGCTTTTCTCAGTTTTTCACAAGAAAGCAACTGGCTCCAAAACCTTGAACTAATCTTCTGGCGGGTTCCCATTCCGGAAGCTTAACAAAAATTTAAAAAAGAAAGACCTGATTAGGTTTAACTGACCAAGAGACTTTGTAAATAGTTTTCATAGATGAAAAGACAATGAATTAAAAAATAACACAATAACTTTTAACCCCCATGTACATATTTCTGTGAACCAGTTTTCTGGACATCATGTGCAAAAACAAAACCAGTAAGTAAGCAAGACAAAAAAACAAACTTGTCATAAAAATTGGTACTAAACCCTAACACACTACAATAAGTTTCAGTGATACAAACAAATGAAGAGGGGAGAAACTCCGTTCTATCTAACTTATAAAGAGATGTATGTTCAAAAGAATTTTTAACGCTTATGACTTCTAGAATTCTTTAAAAATGTATATATGCTTACAGTGTTTACACAATTGTATAGGAATAATTTTAGTGATAATTCAGTCTAGCAGAAAACTTTAAAGCAGATAGTTTTACTGCCACTGTAAATTTAATAAAGAAATCATTTTAGGGAAAAAAGTATTTTGCTGTAGAAAATTACAAATTAATCTCTAAGTCTTCCAAGCATAAATATATTAGATTATGATAAAATTCTGTAGCAATGAAGAACTATAAACCGTAGAGAAAGGGTATAAACCTTTTTCTACTATCAATGAGTATGCTATGATATTTGTAATTCCAGAGGATTCATTTAAAAGAATGATCTAAGTGATTTTCTTTATATTCTCAATATTTACGTGTGCTAGAAATTATGGTCATGATTTAAACTTCTAATAGGAATCTTAAATATCAGCTTAAAATGTAAGGGAGTGCCTGCTTTGCAAAATTTGATAACTGGTTGATTCTAATACATGGCAATCCCTTATGTGTCTGCATAGAATTGATCTACACAGGGTTTTCAAGGGCTGGCTTTTCATAAGTAGATCAGGGCTTTCTTCTTAAGTGCCTCGAGATCAGTGGTTCTCAACTTGTGGGTCGTGACCCCTTTGGGGGTCGAACAACCCTTTCACAGGGGTCGTTTGATTCATAACGGTAGCAAAATGACAATGATGAAGTAGCAACAAAAATAATTTTATTGTTGGGATTCACCACCAAATGATGAACTGTCTGAAAGGGTCATGACATTAGGAGAGTTGAGAACCACTGCCCTGCATACACTCACACCTCCAACCTTTCAGGTAATAGTCAAGGGTGTTCACTGTCTATGTCACGTAGGGAGGGCTGCTCCCTCCAGCAGCGCTTGGGGTCAAAAAGCTGAAAGCCACTACTCTAGGACACCGGTTATCATGGAGTGTGGAGTGTGCGACCAGAAAGATGTAGTACAAGTTTCTATGTCCCTCCATATTCCTTTCCTGGAAAGTTCAATTCAGAGGGTAGGACTCACAACCTGCATTTCTGACAAACTCCCAGGCCCATCTCAAGGCCACCTGTGAACCCAGTGGTGTGTAAAACAAAAATCTGAGAAACACTGTTCTCAGAATTATAAATTTTAATTATTTCATAACTACATATCCTATGCATTATCAGTATCACTTTATAATCAGACTTCCTATACAAAGAGAACACACAAAAGTTAGAAAACACGTCTCTAAATACACTTACTGCTAAAATTAGGCCTATCAACATCTTTTAAAAAAATAATAAACAAGTAGAAAGAAGCAAAAGAATTACAAATAGCTCTTTACCTTCATACTCCTTTTTACGATTACAACTGAGAAGTCACATTGAAAGGTCACTTGCAGGGAACTAAAACTAATCTTGATTTCACCATTATCTCATGTGAATGCGGTGAATCACATCCTGGTGAACAGACACCAGAATGGAAAGTACAAATAACTGAAGAACCTATCAGATCTTAGTTGGAAATGGTGGTTAGATTAATTCAGACTGTAGCACAACTAGGTTAGACCAGATTACGGGGTTATTCACCGATAGTACAGGATGGGTTTAAAGGGATTCTAGAAACACTAGTGAAAGCACAATTTTGCATGGCAATGCATTTTCTTGGATTTATTAATCAGATTTTCAAAAGCATTATGACTTCTACTAATTAAGAAAAAGGGGTTTTGGTTTTTAGTTTTTAAAATGTTTATGATTCTTACAAATGTAACTCTAGGCATACTTGTCTTTGGAGGTGTGGCTGCAACATGGAATACTGAGGGCCACTGTGTCTGGGTATTCCTGGTATTCGGGCGGCATTCTGAGCCATTCGCATCTGATGGGCTTGGAAAGCTCCGCAGTTCATATTGCCTCTTTGCATCGTTTGTACACTGATCAACCTTGGAGGCTATAAAATGAAGAAATTACACTTGGTTAATAAAGCAATGTCATTTCCAGCCCAAGTCCCTAAGAGGTAATTGCTATAAAGTGCCTGTGTATTACTTCCAAATATTCCTATCCCTTCTCTCTGCATCTATGTGTGTCTAAAGCATGTTAACATGAATCTATCCCACCCTGAAGGAACCATTTGATTTGGATGGGGGAGAGGTCAGCAAAAGACACCAGTATGGAAAGTATAATTAACTAAAGAACATGCCAGATCTTAGGTAAAATCGCTGCTTCGTTGACCCAAGATACAACCCACATGTGGAAAAGAAAACAGATCTGGGCACGGGGTATAAAAACATGTGTCGTCGTCACCCCCCCACACACACACCCCCACCACCCCCTGGTCTCCCCTCTTCCCAGTACTAGTGAATGAGCTTTGTTTCCAATGAAAAGAACACCTCTCCCCCTCCATCGCCACACTCTTACCTTTTAGTTCTGAAACTCCACTAGTAACTTTGAAATTACAAGCTCATTTACATAGGATACAACATCAGTAATGTATGGATCCAATACTCACCTGCTGTTGTAACATCTGAGGGGTTGCTTGTCTAGCATGCTGTTGTGTTGTGGTGGTGGTTGTTGATACAGGCGCTGGTGGTTGCTGCATCCTTATCTGTTGCAACTGTTGATGTTTCTGTGCATATACTTGTTGTTGCATGTGTTGGAGTCGAAGCTGGGCTAAATTAATCTGTCCAGGGGTTTTACTAATGTGGTTTGTCCCTGGCGGAACTTGCCCAACTACAACATTAGGAGTATAACCAGGAGCTGGTTTACTTTCTATCACTAGATTACCTGCAAGATTTTAAAAAATAATAAGATAAATTTGCATCTAATTAGCTAAAATCATCTTTCCTATTTCCTCTGCCAATTGTCAGCAATCAAAAACTTCCAACAGTAGAGGAGGGATGAGAGCCAGGCTTAAAGATAATAATGTTCAGAGCCCTTCTAATAGATTATAAAAGCCAATAAATGACTTTTGATTAGTATTCATAATAAATTTACTAGCAAGACACTTTATTTACATATATGTACATAAAATTAAAGAGTTCAAAGAGATTTCGTAAGAGAGGCCCTTCTAGTTGATCTAAATCAACTCTCTCCTGGCAATTCAAGGATATTCAAGATTGCCAATACTCCACCTGCCTTCTAATTACCAAAAGGTACATGGAAGAGTACTTTAATGCTGCAAAATCATCTTCTGTACAAATACTGGAGACCTGAAATCAGTTATGTGCCTACCAACCAAAACCAAACCCACTGCCACCAAGTTGGTCCCAACTCACAGCGGCCCTATACAGGGTTTCTGAGGCTGTAAACCGTTACGAGAACAGACAGCGTCATCTTTCGCTCACTGAATGGCTGAGAGGTTTAAACTAGCAGTCCAATGTTTACCCAAAAGAGCCACTTTGATGTCCCTAAACAAACAAACAAAAAACCTCACTGCTTTCAAGGCAATGTGTTAATTTCCCTTGCTTTCCACAGAGCTCACTGTTCTAGGGATGGAAGGCAAATGTTAGCACACTTTTTCTAGAAAGGGCTAGATGGTTAATATTTTTAAGTACAGCAGGTAATAGCAACATCTGTCTCATATTTTATGTTATAACTCTACAGCTCTCAGGTCACAACAAAAAGTTTGGTGAGCCTTGTTCTAAAAATAGCCAACTTTTGATTTAAAACAAAAATTTATTTCCCTTTACCCAAAGATTAATTGGATGGTGTTATCCACCCTCTATTCTTACAACTTCTAATGTTGGGGATCTACCTTTCATCTAAGGCCCTTAAGTTGTTAAGTCCACATTGGAGTAAAAAAAAAAGCGGAGTTCACTTCTCCTTCGCATGCAAACAGCTACTCCTATCTTTCAAGCATTTCTCAGCATCAGTGGAAAATTTGACCCTATTAATATGCAGACTACTAAATACCCAAGAAATTCTTCAGGAGAATAAAGCACCATTTGCTAAGATTTCCAACAGAAGCTAGAAACGGTATACAGTTTTAAACTCTACACGTTAGCCTCAAGTGTCTTAAAGATGTAATGACATGGCAATGCAAGGCCATAGCTAGTTACCAAGGAAGAATACATTGTTGTCCACTTTGTTTACACGTTAAATTCAAAGTTAGATGCTGTTGATATAGAAAGTTTGCCTTAGATGCTTTCTTCTCTTAATTCAGTGTTCCAAGTGGCATTCATAAAACGAATATCTCTCACCTAAATTGACTACATTCTTTGCCCAGAAGGTGGGATCACAATGGAAACGTATTGCTCCATTAGCAGCAGGGACAGGGTCACATCGTGCTTTCAAAATATGACGCAACTGAAAAGTAATCTTGAAGGGGGGAAAAAAGTACATTAGTCTTAAATACTGATTGAGAAAACATATAAGATCAAAGCATAAGATCAGAGGTGTTAATGCTTAAAAGGCTATCTAAATTACCAGCCAACTGCACATGCCTGAATTTCTGCCATCTCTAGAATAAATTACATCAAGATGCCTACGTAGGGTCTTAAAAGGATACATTACTATGTGAAGCCATTATATGAAATTCTTAAAAATGGCGGCAGATGGCTGGTAGCGGGCAGACAGACTATAAAATAGGGGACAAGCAAACTTTTGGGAGTGGTGGAAATTTTTTGTGTCTTGATGAGGGGATTGGGGGGGGGGGGGGGGTGAGATTACATTAGCCAAAATTTAAACTCTGTACTTTAAAAAAGTACATAGTTTATTGAATGTAAAAAAATGCCTTAATGCAGTCAACTGGGGTGCGGGGTGGGGGGTTGGGGGTGAGGAGGGGCACCGCAAGGAACGCATGACACTAAAACGCACGTTTGCTAAGTCAACCACAACCTACAGTACAGAGAAGAACTGATGCCCCAGTGGGTTTCTAAGGCTGTAAATCTTTACGAAAGCAGAAAGCCTCATCTTCCCCCCGCAGCGTAGCTGGTGGGTTTAAACTACTGACTGTAATTAGCAGTCCAACACTTAACCCACAGTGCTGTCAGGGGCCCACATGAATGCATTACTTTGACATGTTGAGCCCTCTCTCACTGCTGGAGAGATTTAAAAGGTGGTGGTGACTAGAAACCGCTCTGGGAGGCGACTTTCCCTCTCACCAGTCGCTTGCTGTACAGGAGCGCGGTGCTGCTTCCACTTGCAATCGCCCAGTTGGTGAAGTTCATAACGTGCTTCACCTGCCGGGAAAGGCCTGTGATGTCATTCTGCTGCTGTATTAACTTCATCTGTCTTTCTTTCGTAACATTCTGAAACAAAACAAGGGCTTCGTTAGAGAATTCTTTAAGAAACAAACTCAAAATTTTTATCACACATGTACACAATACCTATATCTCGCTTATAATTGGGTAAATTGACACGCTTCTGATTACTTAGTCCATGTGCATACAAAAATCTGTTTAAAAGTGAGTGTAAGACTTTGTTTTCAAAAAAAAAAAAAAGACTTTGTTTTCTATGCAAAGTAGACTATTCTACAGATAGAAATTAATGTAAGTTGGTGTCTTTTATCTGAGGTGATAAAATATACTAATCCAATGTACAAAGTCTACTGATAATAAGCTGGTCTTTAGAAATGACTGATTTGAACCTCACCATGAAGCTTTTCAGGCTAAACAAAACTTTGTGTTACCACTGCCACCTACTGATAGGGAATGAGGCTGAAATTAAATGTGGTCTCTGAAATAGCATATACTCTTGATTATAAGCTGATGCAAACAGACGAGTCACCTAATTTAACCACAAAAACCGCATTTAAAATGTGTGGGAAAACTCGGCTTACATGAGTATATAAGGTACTTGGGACAAAATGAAAAGATAAATTCCATAGCTTGGAGAGTCAAAGGAGGGAACCTTCAGACATGATGGCTGTTCATAAAGGAAAAAGAGTGGGGGAGGGCTAACGGGAAAAGCACACTGGAGGGAAATTCTGAAAAAGAAAAGAAACTGCTTTCTGGGGGTGACGCCCACAAAAGGCATGCCAAAGAATCCACTGACATCGTGTTTTAAAGCCAACTTTCATGAAATAACTTGATTTACTGAACAATTTTTTTCACTACAAAAACCAGCTGTGTGTTTATAATGTAAATCAATGGATGAAAGAAATCTGGCTTACAATTACACTAGAAATCAACCCGTTTGTAATGTGTAAGAAGATCTCTATTTTATAAAATGTGGGAAAATATTTCACTAGAAAAACACTACTTTTTAAGAATTATTATACTACAAAAGATTTATCATTAGGTATTTATAAATATTTTAGCCTTAAGGAATAAGTCTTTCAAATCAAAAGCTCTAGAAATTCAGGTTTTAAAAACGCTATTTTGGATTAACCACATTATGTGATAAAGTTTCTATATCATAGTTACTGCTCAGTACTTCCATCACATTGGTCTTGGGTTCGAGGGCGGGGAGCAGTTAAAAGTGAAATGCAACTGACTGACTGCATATACAACAGACCACCACCACCACGACCTTCCCTGGAACTTCAGACCCTGTGTATGAGGCTACCCCGTACATACTCATGTATGAGCCGAGTCTTTTCCAGCACATTTTTAATGCAGTTTTTATGGTAAAATTAGGTGCCTCTGCTGATACTCGGATCGGCTTATACTCAAGTACATACAGTACTCTAATCTCAATTGGGCTTCAAAAGAAAGATGTATTCCAAAAGTAATATTGTGCTTCTTTCATTTGTCCATAACAATGTGTGTAATGGTTCTAATATGCACTATAAAAAATGAGGTGGAAAATCTATGATGGAAAATTTGAGGTTAATGGTAATGGAAGTTATATAATTAAATTCTCACATAAATTATTCCTACTCAATGTTGCATATAACATTAAGCCCACAGCATCCGAGCCAAGTACCAAGATTTCACATCGGAATTTTTTTTTCTCCCCCCCAAAAATTCAACCACTCAGAAAATTCACATTTAAAATTTGCTAAGGATCAGGTAAGGTAACTGTGGACCATGGAGACCAGTCCTTAACTATAATTCATTTGAATTTTATGAATTGACTGAATTCTCAGCTAGAATTTAGCATTTCAAAATATGCAATACAAAGAATAGTTCATTCATTTCAAAGTGAGCAATAGTGTAAGCCAGGGGTGTCAAACTGGCAGTCTGCAGGCCACATGCGCTACCCGAGGTAATTTTTTGCGGCCCGCTATGCTCTGAAATAAAATTAAAATAGAAAAATTTGTTATGAAGAAAACAGCGCTTAGGGGAGATCGAGGCAATACTGTACACACAATTCCCTCGATAACCCTTTAACTACTGAAGGCCCAGTGCATTTCCTGGGGGCCTGTGGACATGTGTAAACGTGCTGGCTCAGTTCCGGCGAAGTTTGGAAGCAATATATCTGCCACTCTCAGTGTCACGTAATATAAAAAGAACCCAATAGCGAAAAGGTTAAAAAGAGCACTCTGGGTTGTGCTGTTATGAATCATACCTAGCGGCAGCCCTAGTTAACATTTTTAGAGGGAAGCTATTACAATTGTGCATCACGTTTGTCAGCTGTCCAACATTCTGTGTTTTTTAATTAGTTATTTTGTTGTGTTTTCCAGCCACAATATAAGAGGTAAGTGAAAACTAGTCGGAGAAAAACACTGGCAAGTTTCGAGTAAAAAAAAAATTTTTTTTAGTTTTATAAATACATTAAACAAATGTTTAAATAAAAACAATTATATAGTGCTTTAATTATCCTATCCATATTCCTGAATCCTCACTTCAAAATATAAATTTAACGAAATTTGTAAATGTGATGTGGGCCGCATGAATCTTGCCTATTGCATCAAATGGCCTGCGTTTTAACTGAGTTTGACACCGCTGGTTTAAGCAACTCATGGAGCATCTTAAAATTCAAGTGAAACACAAATGACTCAAGCAGAAGCCCAGTGTTCTTTCACGTGGGAAAGTTACATCACATGTTTATAGTCATGCGCTCATCCCCAAGAAGACATCCATACCTCATATACCTTACAAAGCTAAAACCAGTGCCATAAACCTAGCTACAAAATAACTAAGTAAGGAGGGGGAGTATTTTCTAATAGAAATTTGAAATGCTTTTTAAAAGATTATTTATTCGCATATCCCACCCAAACCCATCTAACAGAATTTTCAACAAACATTTAAAAAACAGCTGAAGACCAAGAGAAGCAAGTTTTGCTTTTGTTTTTTGTTTGGGGCTTTGAACCATACCTCTAGCTGCTGTAAGAGAGATTTTCCTTTCTTATTAATTTCATTGATAAGGGTGAAAATGGCCACTTTAATTTCCTGTTCTACTCGTTTGTTAGTCTCATTTACTTCTTTTATCCTGAATAAGAGAAATGCATCATTAGATTATCAATTTATTCTGTGTTTCTGAATCAATTATTATAAAGTCATCCAAGTGGGTACTTAACCAAGTAATTAAAAATAAAGCATTGTCAAAATGTACATTTTATGTTTTGGCAGACCTGACCACTCAATTTGGTTGACACAACTTATTTATATAGACCAGGAATTAATTCAGTATTTGATCATTGTATATTAAACTCAAAAAGGCCACTTAATTAAAGTCTGAATGGCAATGTCTTTAATCTAATGACACGAATATGAAATACAAATATTTGACATTAACAATTAGTTGAGTTTAATCCCACACATTGGTTTTGTTTAATGTTGATTTTTTCTGAGAACAATGTTGCAACCAACAATTAGTATCTTTGAAAGGATAGGAATTACATATCTAAGCACTTTCAATTACACTGTAACCACTTCAAATACGGGTTCTGATGTGCCTCCTTCCTAACATCTCCACATGCTTTCCTATTGTCTAAAGTTAAGGGCGCAAAACATTTTCAATCTATTTTAAAGAAAATAATGTCTAAAGAAAGAGCTAAGAGCACCCACTATAACTATAGAAGTTTCCCATGTAAATATGACATGGCTGATATCATGCTATTTACAAAGCAGAATAGGGGAAATTCCACCAATAAAAATATATAAAATGTGCTGAAGACAAAGCGGGTGAATAAGTAAATGTGGTGAAGAAAGCCGATGGGGCCCGGCTATCAAAAGATATAGCGTCTGGGGTCTTAAA